CTGAACATGTTTTACTTTTCAAAGCAAGTTCATATCACTAACATCTGATTTATAATGAAGCTTGTTTTGGGTTCTAGCATATCACTCATACAAGGTATTTTCCAGAATGGAACGTATTGTATAATCAACGCATAATAACATATGGCTTCACATGTAACGTGTCCAGATAGAAGGCAATCTTTCCGTTATGAACATTGCCTTGGAATATAAAAGCTTGTAAAATTTTCACTTTCTATTGATGTTTAGAGTCCATTCCAACCCAAACAACACAATTAAAAGTTGTCTTGTATTAATAAGACTATGGGATTACAGAGCGGAAAGGGGAAAGACTGGCAGGAAAGGAGCTAACATACCTGAAGCATCTAGCATACATCTCATGTGGCTCAGTCTTCACCCAACCCCAACTGTTGCCATGCTCTCTAGGAATCTAGATAAGCGGTTAATAAACTCTGTTATACCCCGGCAAACTCCTGCCTGCCCTAGATAACCCTGCTTCCTCTGAGGTCTCTCAAGGAGAAGCAATCTTTTTCTCACACCCACTTTTCCTCCTTGTGAAACCCCAGCTTCTTTGAAACTCACGCCCTGGGCTTTACTGCCCGCTGTGCTGACAGCTGTCATTGTCTGATCTCCCACCAGGGCCCTGTCCCTACAGACAGCTCCTGCCTTGCGCTTCCTCCCACTACCGCCTGTGTCTCCTGTCAACATCCAGGAGGTATTCGATCACATCCCTGTCCTCTTCACCACCAACTTCTGCCCTACCCCACAATGAAAACGTACCCCATGATCAAACCTGGTCCCTGCCATGGCCAGTAACTGAATCACCTCCCCAACTGGATTTCAAACATCCTTTCCTTCCAGAAAACTGCTTTCTTTCTTACTGCCCACTCCGACAGCCGTCTTACCTCAGCAAGGCTCCCAATTCGGTCACCTCATCATTCTTTCCATCACCCAATACCTTCCTCTTGTCCTCATCTCCTTCACCAACTTAGAATCTGAACTATCTCCCTACGGGACTCTCTTTTTCTTGCTTGCCCCGTCCTCCTTCCCTGCGCTCAAGCAGCTGAGTTCTGCCAGAGGAAAATCACACATTCCGGCTGGCTTCGCTTTTTAGATTCAAAACCACAAACCTCAAAGGACATGCAATACTGCCCAGCAAGCCTACACTTCCCTAATCATTTTGCTTTCTCAACCTCGAAGACGGAGATTTCACACTTCTCTCTTTAAACTTCCAACATTCTCTCTCTCCTCCTCCATGGAGTACCAGGGCTTTCGGTCAATGACTCCCAGATCTATAGCTCAGACACTCCAGGGTTCCCGAAGGTACAGCAACCAACCACGTGATACCCCTCCCTGCATCTGAAACAGATTTCTTCATCCTCCCTCCAAACCGATTCCTCCCCCAGTATGCCCCACTTCAACAAACAGTGTCACCATTGCTCCATTTCCTAAGGTAACTAGGCCTTATCCTTCATTTCTCCTTTTCTCTCAGCTTCCACATATAACCCACTACTAAGCTCAGTCCCTATGACCTCCAAAATACACCCCAAGTCCAACCTTTCCTCTCCATCCCCACTGTCATCGGTAAGATAAACCACCATATCCCCCACCAAGCCAACCACACAGCCTCCTGTGTGGGTTTCACTGTTTCTACATCTACCCAGCCCCCACTCTCATTTTCCACACATGGGCCAGAAATATATCTTTAAGCATATGTTAGCCAACATTCCTCTGCTTAACACACTTTGATGGCTTCCCAAGACTCAGATAAAAACACAAACCTCTTTGCCATGGCCTTCAAGCCTGTATAGTAGGGAGATTAAGGGGTGGGGGGCAGTAGAGTTGACAGCTGGGGTTGGCAGAAAGAACCTAAGGATAAAGGAGGGGGCCGCCTAAGCAATGACTGAGATTGGGCTTTTTTAAAATTAGTTTTCAATAGGTTCTACATGCATAAGGTGGAAAGTTCACAAGATAGCAAAGGGATAAAAAAAAAGTTTAAAAAGTTAAAAAAAAAAAAGACAGCAAAGGGCATAACAGTGACATCTCACTCCCTGTTCCGTCACCCTTGCTTCCACATCCTATACATTCTAGGATAGGCCTTCACATTCACACATACAGAGATGGCATGTGACACACACTATTCTGCACCATTTCTTCCTTCACTTATCAGAGGTTGGGGGGGGTCTATCCACATCTTCATCTGCAAAGCTGCCACATTCCAGTCTACAGGACAGTCCAATCCTTGGCCAGTATACAGTGAGGTGCTGCCCACTCCCCTCCTACTCCTTGCCCACCTTGCTCTGCACCCTCACCAGTACCTTAACTCCACACTCACTCCCACCTCCCCACACTAATCCCTTTCTTGGCCCTAAACCCACCAAGCTCCCTTCTTGCTTTGGGTCTTTGCATTTGCTGTTTCACAGCCTGAAATGTTTTTCTCCTAGTTCTTTGCAAATGGCTTGCTCTTTCCTTTTCTTGGCTTGTCCTCAAAAGTAATCTAGAGTGACCTATCCTGATCACTCTATTTTAGATGGCCTCCCTCCCTCAGCCCTGGCCAATGTGACTCAGTGGGCTGGGCGACTCCCATTCACCAAAAGGTTGCCAGTTCAATTCCAGGACGGGGCATATGCCCAGGTTGTGGGCTCTATTCCCCCCACCCCCAAGGGGGCATGCAGGAAGCAGCAGATTGATGTTTCCCTCTCATATCAATGTTTTGCTCTCTCTCTCCCTTCCCCTTCCGCTCTCTCTAAAAATCGATTTTAAAAATAGTTGAACTTTCATCAAAAAAGAAAAAAAATGGCCCTGACCAGTTTGGCTCAATGGATAGAGCGTTGACCTGCGGACTGAAGGGTCCCAGGTTTGATTCCGGTCGAGGGCATGTGGCAGCTGATCGATGTTTCTCTCTCATCCATGTTTCTAACTCTCTATCCCTCTCCCTTCCTCTCTGTAAAAAATCAATAAAATATTTTTAAAAAAATGGTTTCCCTCAGTTACTACTACCTGTCTCATCTCACTCTGTTTCTTCCCTTCATAACATTTCTCCCAATGTAATTACCTGGTTTAATTGTTTACCCCTTTATTGTTCATCCGTAAGTTCTATAAAAGCAGTGGCCTTATCTGTCTTGAGCCGGAGGCTATATCCGCAGCACCTAGCAGAACATGTAGAACGATCAGTAAAGATGTTCTGTATGAATGATTCTTTGACTGAGGGCCAACACTGAAGGCTTTCAAAGTGCCAGGCACTGTCCTAGGTACTTGCCATGCATTCATGCATTTAGTTCTCATAACATCTCACAGATGAGAAAACAGGTTTTAGAAAGTAATCTCTCTCTCAAAAGATGATGCGAATAATCAAACCCAGACCTGACCCTAGCCCCTAGGTTATACTGTATACGAGGAAAACGTTAAAATATAACATATCTCACCTTAAACTTAAAACATATAAATCCAGGATGGGGAAAAATACACCTTATCAGTAACAGTGGTTCTCTTACACACTACTCTCAAATGAGGCCACTAGATGCGCAATTAGTTCCCTTTCTAGACTTCGGTTTTTACATGTGCAAAGTACAAATATTATAAGTACTCAAAGTATAGAGAGGTAGGTGAAAACCTATTACATGGATAGGTGAGTTCACCTATTGTATATGCTGTAATTTAGCAGCCCAATGATCAACATTTATACAAGTGTCTCTTTATCCCACATTATCTCATTTGAAGCCGTTTACCTGTAACACATAAATCCTTTTATTCAAAACTCAAGTCTTCCTGTAATTGTTCTCTCTTCTCAAATTGTTTCATTACCACAAATGTAAAATACCTAGCAGTTATCTGTAAATTCTCTCATCTTATTCTAGGTTCCCCAAACCACATTCTTCCCACCTATTTTGAACACATTCCAAACACAAGATTTCCCTCTCCTAGAGTCTAATTAATGGTCGTTGCTGTGGCATTTCATTATCACAAATGAATAGAGACAAAATAAAACCTTCAGTGATACACTTGATCCTAACAGCTAGAGAGCAACAAATATTGCCCCGACTTTACTTTTAAAGTGCTGCTTCTGGGTCTTCTGATGGAAATCAAAAAGTAACAGGAGAATGATGTCACCTGAAGCCACGTGTGGCCCACAAAAAAAAGCATATAAAGTTCGAGTTGGAATCCAAGACCCTCCACCTAGTTAAATTCTTTGAGCCTCAAATTTCTCATTTAAAGATCACATGAAAAAAGAAAAGAAAAAGAAATCACATGAGGTAAGTATAGAGAGTCCCTAGTACAGAGTCGGACACACAGCAATCAGCCAACGAGTGGGAAAGAAATAATTCAAGTACCAAGACACGGAAGAAAGAGGGTTGGAATTAAGAATGAGATTCTGCTCATCCCAGGAACATATTCTCCCCCCTATGAACGTTTCAGTAAAAGCTGCCGTGACATCACCCACCATCTCCTATTTCAGAAAGCCTCGTGGACACATTCCCATTGTCCTCTTGTCAAAAGTGAGAATAAACAGACCACATCTGCAAATAAGAGCACCGAGGGAATGGCGAATGCGGTAACTCGACCCAATTCCTGGACTGAGACCATGTCACCAAGAAGCAAAACCCGGGTCCCCACTAACACCCCCCTCCCTCTTCGGCCTCTGCACACCCTTCCCAAACGCTTCCCCTTCCCGCCTGGAAAGGACACCTTCACCCGGCAAAGTGCGAGGCGCACGGGAGCCCCCGCCGCGCGGCCCTCGGCCCTCCCCGGACCTCCGGCTGCCGTCCTCGCCCCGCCGGCCAGGCCCGCAGCACCGGGGGAGGAGGGGGGCCCGAGGAGCCAGGCACCCGGTGGAAGGAGTGCGCGGTTGCCCCGCGGCGCCACACCCACCGGCCGCCACCCTCGGCATCTCCGCCTCGCCCTCCCGACTCCTGGAAAACCCTGGGACCTGCCCTCCCGTGGCGGCGCCCCCACCCGGCGTCGGCCCCTTCTAGGAATGAGCCCCACGGCCGCGGCTCGCGCACCCGAAACCTGCAGTAATCGCTGCTCTCCGACCAGCTGCTCCGCTCACTCCGCTTGGTCCCGTTGCCCGCTGCCCGCCTCCGCCGCCACCTCACCCCCAGCGCTGCGGCCAGGGTTTCCGGGCGCCCACGTGACCCGCGCGGTCCCCGTGGCATGTTGGGAGTTGTAGTCTGACCGCGAAGGCCGGGGGGACTGGGTAGGCGGGGGCTGCTCCTAGCAGCGGGCGGAGCTGGGACAGGGGGTTGGGGGCCGGGGTGGGGGGAGCAGTATATGGTCCAGGAATGTTAGGGAAAAAAGCAGTGAAGGAGAGATAACATATAATTTGATATGATGTATACATCACCTTTTTCTCAAAAAGCTTTATCGCTCTTTTTTTTTTATAGAAAGCAACGTGTTGCTAAGTGTGCTACTAACCTGCCACGAAGGCATAAGCTTTAGATTGTTTAATTAAATACAGTTGCCCATAGTCTACCAGTATCATTCACTGTTCTATGTCTCACCCCACCTACTCAAATAAATGAATGTTCCGGTCCTGGAGGCCTCAAGCAAAAATTAAAGGTCTTACAACACTTAACTTTGAACAAGGGTCTCTGTCCTTCTGGGCTGCTTTCAAACTATTGGGGAAATATAATTAGGAGGAAAAAACAAAAAACTCCCAACCCAGAAGTCTTTCCACAAAAGTAATAGACTAGGAAACCGTTTTGTTATTAAATAAACTTTAATCCAGAATGTGATGCACTTTACAAGCAATGCACTAAGATTGCAAAGACAGAAGGAATCTCCCCTTTATATAGCCAAGCCAGGACAACCCACTAAAAAGCATGTTCTCAAATGAGAGGACGTGACAAGGTCACCCATCCTAACTTTATCAGGGAAACTGGGGAGACAAAACCTGTGTTGGCTTAACCAGAGGAGAAACAAATTTCCATACCTTTAGGACAGGAGATAGTCTTGCAGATTGGAGCAAGGTGCCCACAAAAGTTAGGCTGTTAAACTGACGCCATTTTGGGCAGCCTTTGCAGATGATTTAATAAAATTATAATCCCTTAAAAAAAAGTTAAGCTCCTACCCTTACACAGGAGCTGGGTGTTAGGGACACTATCTTCCTGGTTGTTTGCATTTCAAAGATGGTTGCCAGGTCCTGGAGGAAACATTCCTGAGCTGTGAGACTAGCCACAGGTTATCTAGCCATTACAAATGTATACTGTACATGTATTTTAAACATACGCAGAAAGAAATTTTGAAAGAAAAGGGAGGAGGGGAATGTGTGCAATGCAGTAGTAGTTTTGTTTCTAGTCACCTAAGGGTGTATCTGGGGAAATGTGCTATCAGCGTGAGCAACAATAAACCATCCAAAGGTTTCACTTTTATTTTTAAAAAATCCATAGTAGAATATTACACACTTAAAAATGAATAAAATTCTGATACATGCTACAACATGGGTGAACTTTTTGAAAACGTTATGCTAAGTGAAATAAGCCACACACAAAAACAAATATTGTTTGAGTCCATTTATGTGTGGTCCCTAGAGTAATCAAATTCATAGGAACAAAAAGTAGAATAGTGGTTACCAGGGGCTGGGAGGAAGGGAAAATGGGATTACTGTTTAATGGATATAGAGTTTCGGTTGGGGGTAACGAAAAAGTTCTGGAGATGGATGGTGGTGATGATTGCACAAAAATGTGAATATAGCCCTAACTGGTTTGGCTCAGTGGATAGAGCGTTGGCCTGTGGACTGAAAGTCCAGGTTCGATTCCGGTCAAGGGCATGTACCTTGGTTGCGGGCACACCCCCAGTAGGGGGTGTGCAAGAGGCAGCTGATCAATGTTTCTCTCTCATTGATGTTTCTAACTCTCTATCCCTCTCCCTTCTTCTCTGTAAAAAAAAAATCAATAAAATATATTTAAAAAAATGTGAATATATGTATGTCATACTATTGAAAAGTACAGTTAATTAATTAATTTGTTGTTGTTGTTGTTGTTGTTAATCCTCACCAGAGGATATTTTTCCATTGATTTTTAGAGAGAGTGGGAGGGGGACAGACAGAGAGAGAGAGACATCGATGTGAGAGAGAAACATCAACTGGTTGCCTCCTGCCGGCACCCTGACCAGGGTCCAGATCTAGTCTGTAACTGAGGTACGTGCCCTTGACCAGAATCAAACCCGGGACCCTTCAGTCTGCGGGCTGATGCTCTATCCACTGAACCATACTGGCTAGGGCAGAATGATACCCTTAAAATGGTTAAAATGGTAAAATGTATAAATTGTGAAATACATGTGTATATATGTATATGCGTGTATATAAAGTAAGTATATAACCTGGCCGCCACCACCACCACCCAGAAAGCCTTTTCCCCGTGGCCCAAGCTATGCTCTTTGCACTGATAGTCATACTGACGGAGAAGGTCGGAGTAGGGAGAGGCCGAATCTCTCCTTGGCTTCCATAACCATCTGGACATTTTACCACCATTTGATGTTACTCTAGATGTTCTCCAAGCAGTGAGTCTGAGTCCGCTGACTTTTTTTTTTTTTCTTTAACAGTAAGCATTACCGGGAGAAGAAAACATTTGTGATGGCTAACTTCATTGACATTGACATTTAATGGGTTTTATTTCCCGCCCCTGCCCATACATTTGTGGTGGGTCTTGACCTACATTTCATTTCCTAGTCACATACCTATGACCATGGCTCTCAGCAGTCGGCTGCAGCAGCCTGTGGCAGGGTCTTTTGTTTTCTTGCTCTACCTGCCAGCATTGAGGTTATTTTATTCAAAGGAGCAGTTCCCCGCAATTTACCTGTAAGTGGAATTCGGAGCAAAATAAATCATATTTTAAAGATCATCTGAAGGAATCGTGGGGAAAAGGTGTTGTTGGGTATTGAATAAATTGTCCTCTGTTGCAGGGCTTCTCAATCTTTCTAGACCAAATGCATTTTACCTTACCTCCCTCCCCCGCCCCCCTATACACAGGCAGGTCTGCAACGGACCCAAACATTTCACAGAACAATCCTGAGCCTGATTACATGAGATACATTCTGGAATTTTTTTTGCGAACCTTTTCTGTAAAAATGCTGGTTGCAACCCACTAAAACTGATTTCAGGACTCAGGGCTAGGTCTCAGCCCACGGTTTGAAAACACTATACCAATTTAAATATTTTATAAACAGGATGTCTCTGTTTTGCATATTGTACCTACACGGCTTAACTGCCAAATGTTACCTTCTCCTCAGTGGAGAAAATCTAATCCTATGGTCTGAGAACCAGCGACCCTCCCAGACTCTGCAGGGGGAAAACTAAGGAAAATTCACCCCGACTTTGTCTCTTGTGCCAGCATCGGGGCCTGGTAAACCCTGTTTCCTCAGACCTAGAAATTAACCTCTGTTCTGTGGTTGAGCATGTGAGGGAAAGAAACAAATGCTTTTTCAGCTCTTTCTTCTGTACAAATGCAAAGTTATTTTCGTTTTTTAATCTTCTCTTTGGAACACCTCCTTTCTCTTAGAACAGCGGTTCTCAACCTGTGGGTCGCGACCCCTTTGGGGATCGAACAACCCTTTCACAGGGGTCGCCTAAGACCATCCTGCATATCAGATATTTACATTAGGATTCATAACAGTAGCAACATTACAGTTATGAAGTAGCAACGAAAATAATTTTATGGTTGGGTCACAGCATGAGGAACTGTATTTAAAGGGCCAAAAGGTTGAGAACCACTGTCTTAGAGGCTCCTCAAGAACAGTACTTCGAATCCACAAGACAATGCAAAGACTCAAGACCCAGCTCTGTATCCTTACATTGTATTCTCGCCACTGGAGCCCCCACCCCAGCCAAAGAAGGGACATTAGGAAAAATGGGGGGAGGGGTGGAGCTGCATAAGAGAAAGTGAGTAGAAAGAAGGAACCGGGTGGTTTATAGGTATTGGCTCAGTTAACTGGCTTTGCAAGATGACGAATGTTCAGACTCTGGGCGGCCAATGCTGGCCAGCGCCTCACCTGTGCTCCATGCCCAACGGCAGCTGCGGGCTCAGTGGCAGTGGGAGGGCTTCCACTTCCTTTCACTTTCTCAGGCCGCCAAACCTGGCACCTGGGGACAGAACTACAGTTCCCACCGCGCAGCGAGGCAGCAGGAAGAAGGGGCCCTACGGGCTGAAAAGGAAAACAAGGAGAAAAAGAAAACCTTTCCCGCTAGCAGAAGTGAGAGCGCGACAGGTAGGCGACCGGTGACCCGGGAGGGTGGAGGCTACCGGATGCAGGATGGAGGGCGTCCCAGGCGGACACTGCGTTCTCCTTGCAGGACGTGCAGGCTGAGTTCAAGGGGCTTTCGTGGAAATTCTGAGGACTTCCTGGGGTGGGGTGAGGCAGAGGAGGAAGATTTCAGCTCAAGTTATGGTGATGAGACACGGAAGTGGAATGGCTTTCTTTATCTGAAAGGTCAGAGGGGAAACAAAGTGGCTGCAGGTGTCCACCGTCTGCTGGATCATTGAGCCACAGGTGTTTTGGAGGCGAGAGAAGCATGGGGTTTCTATAGGCTGGATATCTGTGTGCATTTTAATTTGTATAACAATACAGATTTGTCCTTTTCCATGACTTTAAAGAAAACCAAAAAGTACAACTGGGGGGAAGTGAAGAAGGGTATCGTATGGCAGGAGCAACTTGCAGTGCAGCACATCAACTTTAATCATCCAATGGGGGTAGGTTTCATGGATTTTTATGAGGAGACCCAAGACGATAGTCTTTGAGGAACCTTTGAGGGCCTGAGGATATTTGCCTGGAGGAGATATGCTTGGCGCTCCAAATATCTGATGGGCTGGCATGTGGAATCGGAATCTGCCCAGTCCTGGCATAGCACGAGGGTCAACAGATGGAACCCTGGGAGATAGATTTCAGCCCCAGGTAAGTTAGAGCTGCGCACACAGAACGGATTTTTGCATGGGTAGTGAGTTCCTCATGCTCAGTGATGTTGAAGCGTAGGTGAATGGTTGGGCAGACACGCTGACGGTGAGAATAAAATTCAGGCGAGTGATTGTGTGGATCAGTGTTTTCCAACCCTGGCTGGGCAGGCATCAGAATCACCTGGAGAGTGCGTGCATGTATGTGTACACAGGTTTTTAAATATCTTTAGCAGATCTGGGATGGGCTTGGGGAATATGTATTTTTAATTATCTCCCCAAATAATTTTGATAGAATTAGTTCGTGTGGGAAACACTGTCATTTAGAAACTTTATTTTCCAGCTTATGGTGAAGTATGCCATAAACATCCCCACTACAGTTTTCTTTTTGGATTTTCTCAAAACCCTAATTTCCTCATCAAGGAAAAGTAGGTGCGAGCTGAAAGAAAAAGACCATGTCACTCTTCCCTAAACTGACTTCTCTGTCCGACCTTGTCAGTCCTTTGTTGCTGGTTGCCTGGACATTTGGAGTCCTTCTCCCACGTGAAAAGCCAGGCATGTCTATCAACTGAAGAATGGCAGGAAAAACACTCCTGTGGGCATCTCCTCTGCCATCCTCCTGCTGAGTGGGCACTCCATGGGGCACGGAGCCCCTGGTCTCAATGACCAGGATTTCCACCAATGCTGTCATCTGACTGTGATGACTGGGTAGCCCAGCAGAGAATGTCAGTAGGACCTCTTCATCCTGAGGGTACCCCTAAAGTAATGTCCACCCACCTAAGGCAGGTTTGAGCTTAGGGGGGCAGCTCTCTTGTACCTGACCAGTAATTAGTGTCCTTCAACCAATATTTTTATTGATTTCAGAGAGGAAGGGAGAGGGGAGAGAGAAAAAACATCAATGATGAGAGAGAATCATTGATTGGCTGCCTCCTGCACGCCCCCTACTGGGGATGGAGCCCACTGTGCCCTTAACCGGAATTGAACCCGGGACCCTTCAGTCCACAGGCCAACGCTCTATCCGCTGAGTCACACCAGCCAGGGCCCAGGAGGATGTTAGTGCAATGAAAGCAACGACCTCCCTGCCTTGTCCTGTCCTGGACCCCAAGTGCCTTGAACAGCGCCTGGGCCTGCGCCTGGTCGTGCTTACTAAAGAGACGCTGAACCCCTCCTTTTCTTCCCAGCTCCACTCCAGGGAGGCAGCGCCATGCAGTTCTCCAGCTCAGCCAGGGCAGCAGATGAGAACTTCGACTATTTGTTCAAGGTCATCCTCATCGGGGACTCCAACGTGGGGAAGACGTGTGTGGTGCAGCATTTCAAATCCGGGGTCTACACGGAGACACAGCAGAACACGATCGGCGTGGACTTCACTGTGCGCTCCCTGGAGATCGACGGCAAGAAAGTGAAGGTCAGTGGGGCCTGGGTTCGCTCCCCCTAGTTTAGCCAGAGTTCCTAACCCCGAAGCACATGCCTGAGGAATAAAAGATTTGAATGTAAAACATGAAATCATAAAAGTACCAGGAAAAAACATAGGTGTATTCATTTTTATCACAGTGGAATGAGGAAATTGGGCTTTGCAGTAAGACGAGAAACCCAGGATGTCTGTAATAGTGTCAACAATAAAAAATAAATAAATAATGTGAAAAAGACAAGAAGCCCAGAAGCCATAAGGGAAAATACTGCTCAATCTAACTATCTCAAGGTCAGATGTATATATTTCTATGTAACTATATAAAGATAACATTTCTACATAGTCAAAAACACTCTGAACCAAGTCAAAAGATGAATGACACTTGGAAAGAAATATTTGCATATATGGGACTTGACAAATGGCTAATTGCTTTAACGTGAAAAGAGCCCTGATAAATAGCTAAGAAAAAAAGCTAAACAGCCAAGCACACACATAAAAAAATAGGCTATTCACAGATTGAACAAAACTGCTGTTTCACAAACTGTATAAGAATGAGCTCATACATTTATGTAAAGGTGCCCGTCCTCATTCATAATTAAATAAACAATAAGCTAACGGTAAGATACTGTCTTTTACCCATTTGATTAGAAAAGATCGAAAAGTGTGGGTAAAAGTGTAATAAATGGATCTTGTTTGGGATCCTGATTTTGTAAAAATACATTTTGGAGACAATTAGGAAAATTTCCATATAGACTGGGCATTAAATAATATCAAGGAGTTATCAAAAAGTTTATTAGTGATAATGGCATTGTGGTTATGAAAGAAAATGTCCGTTTTTATAGGGATGTACGTCAATGTAAGTAGGGATGAAATGACATGAAGTCTGGGATTTGCTTTAAAGTAATACCTCACTGCCCTAACCGGTTTGGCTCAGTGGATAGAGCGTCAGCCTGCGGACTGAAGGGTCCCAGGTTCGATTCCGGTCAAGGCCATGTACCTTGGTTGCGGGCACATCCCCAATAGGGGCTGTGCAGGAGGCAGCTGATTGATGTTTCTCTCTCATCGATGTTTCAAACTCTCTATCCCTCTCCCTCCCTCTCTGTAAAAAAATCAAAATATATTTTTTTAAAAATTATAAAAAATAAGTAAATAAAATAAAATAAAGTAATACCTCACTGACCTAAAGTAAATCCCAGGAGGAGTTCTTCCTGGGCTTTGAATTTGCAGTAACAGGTGTGAACATTCTAGAGGCAGTTGGATGATCATGTATGATACTGCAGACAAGAAAAATAAATAAAATACTTCAAAGAGCCCTGGCTGGGAGCTCAGTGGTTAGAGGGTTCAATTCCGGGTCAAGGGCATGTACCTCGGTTGCAGACTCAATCCCTAGCCCTGGTTGGGGCACATATGGAAGTGCGGGAGGCAACCAGTCAATGTATCTCTCTCACATAGATATTTCTCTCTCTCTCTCTCTCTCTCTCTCTCTCTCTCTCTCTTTCTCTCTTTCCCCCCCTTCCCTCCCTCCTCTTCACTCTTCTAAAAAATCAATGGAAAAAATATCCTCAGATGAGGATTTAAAAACATTAAAGAATAAAAACAAAGAAATCAACAGAACAGGCTAGATGTAGCAAAAGTGGCAAAATCTTGATAATTATTGAATAACTAGAGGCCCGGTGCACAAAATTCATGCATGGGTAGGGTCCCTAGGCCTGGCCTGCAATCAGGGCTGATCAGGGCCTTCCGGCTGCCGGCCAGGGCCTTTCTTTGTTCCATGCCACCCCCTGGTGGTCAGCGCACATTATAGTGAGCGAGTGATGGGTCTCCTGTCGAACTCCCCTGGGGTCAATTTGCATATTAGGGTTTTATATATAAGTTATTGAATCTGGAATGATAGGTATATGAGGGTTCATTGCTCTATTCTCTCTAGTCTTGTATATGTTTGCAAACTTTATTTAAAAAATAAATTTTGTGCCTGGCTGGCATGGCTCAATGGTTAAGCATCAACCTATGAACCAGGAGGTCATGGTTTGATTCCAGTCAGGGGACACGCCCGGGTTGCAGGCTCAATCCCTAGTAGGGGATGTGCAGGAGGCAGCCAATCAATGATTCTCTCTCATCATTGATGTTTCTATCTCTCTTCCTTCCTCTCTGAAATCAATAAAATATATTTTTAAATAAATAAATAAATTTTGTAAATAATGTAAGTATATGAAGAAACAGGTACCCAAGACACTGTTAAGTGTATAAATTGGCGCTATTGCTTGGGATGGTGGTTTAGGAGGTGATATTATGAGGATACTCCTGAACATAAACAGTGGAGTGGTCCTTTAAAATCAAAACAGTCCAGCCAACATTACTTCCTCTTCCAGTGTTAATAGCACTGGGCAGGGTCAAGAGATAAGGCCCAAAATCTGGAGGAAGGGATGATTGCGATGCAAAGGGGAAAGAACACCAGACCCCAGGACATTGGGTCTCACTCTCCGACTAAGCGTCCCGGAGGTGGTGGCTCCCAACCTGAGAGCCCATCCAAATTACCCTGGGGTGCAACTGGAACAACAGACTCCTGTGCCCCAGCCCAGACCTCCTGAATTTGGATATCTCCAAGTAAAACCCAGGAAACTGCATTTTGCAGGCAACTCAGGGAGCAAGTCCCCATCGGGTGTGGGAGCTCCTGATGCCATCCCCTTTCCCGCCCGTCTCCAGATGCAGGTGTGGGACACCGCAGGCCAGGAGCGCTTCCGGACCATCACCCAGAGCTACTACCGCAGCGCCCACGCGGCCATCATCGCCTACGACCTGACCCGGCGGTCCACCTTTGAGTCCGTTCCTCACTGGATTCACGAGATAGAAAAATACGGAGCTGCGAACCTGGTCATTATGCTGATCGGTATGGAGTTTTCAAAGGGTTTAACTTTGTTTTATTGGCCCCCCTCTGCTGACACTCAGCTTTTTGTGTGTTTCCGGTGGCAGGGAAGCATGAAATCATAAAGTGCAAATGGTAAGAGGGCCTCAGAAAGCATCTGGCCCAGAAATTCCATCAGATTCACTTGGAAATGAGAGGGGGTGGTGTGAACTTGTTAAGAATACAGATCCGCCCTAACCGGTTTGGCTCAGTGGATAGAGCGTCAGCCTGCAGACTGAAGGGTCCCAGGTTCGATTCCGGTCAAGGGCATGTATCTTGGTTGCGGGCACATCCCCAGTAGGGAGTGTGCAGGAGGCAGCTGATCGATGTTTCTCTCTCATCGATGTTTCTATCCCTCTCCCTTCCTCTCTGTAAAAAATCAATAAAATATATTTAAAAAAAAAAGAATACAGATCCCAAGGCCCCACCCTAGAGTTTCTCTACGTGCAGGAGCCCCAGCTGGTTTGCTGCACAGTCTGTGCAGACCACACAGAAAGTACTCTGTAGGCTGAGGTTCCCAGGCAGCGGCCCCAAACCCCTGAGGGAGCCATTCAGATGAATGTAACTGACACACCCGACACACACTTGAATGACTTCTTTATTTTTTTTAATGTTTTTATTGATTTTTAGAGAGAGAGAAAGGGAGAGAGATAGAGAGATAGAAACATCGATGAAAGAGAAACATCTTTGATCAGGGCTGCCTCCTGCAAGTCCCCCACTGGGGATTAAGCCCACAACCCAGGCATGTGCCCTCGGCCGGAATCGAACCTGGGACCCTTCAGTCCACAGGTTGACACTCTATCCACTGAGCCAAGCCAGCCAGGGCTGAATGACTTCTTTAAAAAAAAAAAAAAAGTTTTTATTGATTTTTGAGAGAGGAAGAGAGAAACATTGATGGGCTGCCTCCTGCACGCCCCCTACTGGGGGTCGAGCCTGTAACCTGGGCATGTACCTTGACTAGGAATCAAAATGGTGACCTCTTAGCACACTGGATGATGCCCAAACAACTGAGTCACACCAGGGCTTGAATGACTTCTTAGACCTGTTAAGACCCTAAGTGAATCTTAACACACCAACATCAAAACAGGAACTTCAACTACACAAAGTGAACTTGCAGCTGGAAATATGAGCAGTCCTATTGTACATTCAGAGAGAAGTGTTAATGTTTCTGTTATTTCTCTAGTACTGTTTTCGTTTTGCAGCCTTTTGGTGCACAAAATGATGCCCAACCAAATGAGCCACACTGCCCCAGTTCTTAATTGATTCTAGAAATGCCCCTAAAGATGACCTGGACATGTCCCCATCACCCCAGGGCTAATACGAGGGGGCTTTCTGTTTTCTGTCATTGGCCTCCGTGCCTTAATCTAGAAAAGTCAAATGTCTTGTTCCCTTATGGAAGTGTTCCCGTCTCTTTCACTATTTTTCCATTCTGTCTACCCCAGCCCCTGGCAGCCACTTCCCACCACACAAATGGCAAAGAGATGGCTATGCGTTGATTCCTACTGTTCCTCCCCCTCCAGCCACTCTCAGGAAGCTCAGCTCCTCGGTGATGTGATGTTCCTCTGTTTAAAATCCTCGCTGGTCTCCCATGCTCCCCCAGATAACACACAAATTCCTGAACCCGACTGACAAGGCTCCTGCTTTCTTCCGGAGATGGCTGACTGGCCTCGTATCTTTTTCTTGTCCCCTCAGCTCTGTTCCTGATCTAACCCTTCAGACCTTCTATCAGAGTGAGGGGTCAAGAAGCCAACATCCTTCTGTAGGCTATACTGGCTGCTCTGTCTCATAACTTTCTTCAGTATCTGATATTTGTCCCCTTAGGATCTTGGGCAAACCTTTCACTGAAACTCTTTTTTTAAATAAATATATATATATATATATTTTATTGATTTCAGAGAGGAAGGGAGAGGGAGAGAGAGGAAGAGAGAGAGAGAGAGAGAGAGAGAGAGAGAGAGAGAGAGAGAAACATCAATGATGAGAATCATTGATCAGCTGCCTCCTGCACAACCCCTATGGGAAATCAAGCTCGAAACCTGAGCATGTGCCCTTGACCAGAATTGAACCTGGGACCCTTCAGTCCGCAGGCCGACACTCTATCCACTGAGCCAAACCAGCTAGGGCCACTGAAATTCTTTTACAGTTACAGGTCTACAGTCTCTCAGTGAAAACCCTGAAGGCCAAAGATTTCAGAGTCCAGAATTTGTTGAATCTTAGGAGGGTGCATGCTATGTTACCTAACACCCTCAGTAGTGTCTGGGGCAACATCCCATGGTCAAATGCATTAATATATATGCAGTGAAATATATGGTCATACAAAGAAGGTTGAATAAAAACTTCAAATGGCCAGTGTAGGGCAGATTTTACTGTCAGATAAATTACCAAAAAAATGTAGTGGTTTCAGAGTTTTTTGGATTTGGGAAATGTGGATAAGGGATGGTACACCTGTAAGGCTAACAACTTGTACCATTCACCTGGTCCTTAGGATGTGTTGTTTCATGGCCTGTGTTGGATGGGCAAATTCTTGTATAGCTCTTTTTTATTTTTTAAATGTTGTTGATTTTAGAGAGAGAGGGAGAGGAAAAGAGACATCAGTAGCAGCCTTCTGCACACCCCCTACCAGGGACAAGCCCGCAACCTGGGCCTGTGCCCTCATCTGGAATATCTGGAATCGAACTGGCAAGCCCTCGGTGCATGGGACAATGCTCAATCAACTGAGCCGGTGGCCAGGGCATTTGGCTCTTTATTTATTTTTACATATTTTTTTAAATATATTTTATTGATTTTTTACAGAGAGGAAGGGAGAGGGATAGAGTTAGAAACATTGATGGGAGAGAAACATCGATCAGCTGCCTCCTGCACACCCCCCACTGAGGATGTGACTGCAACCAAGGTACATGCCCTTAACTGGAATTGAACCCGGGACTCTTCAGTCCACAGGCCGACGCTCTAGCCCAGCCGTGGGCAAACTACGGCCCGCGGGCCGTATCCGGCCCGTTTGAAATGAATAAAACTAAAAAAAAAAAAGACCGTACCCTTTTATGTAATGATGTTTACTTTGAATTTATATTAGTTCACACAAACACTCCATCCATGCTTTTGTTCCGGCCCTCCGGTCCAGTTTAAGAACCCATTGTGGCCCTCAAGTCAAAAAGTTTGCCCACCCCTGCTCTAGCCACTGAGCCAAACTGGTCAGGGCATATTTTTACATATTTTTATTGATTTCAGAGAGGAAGGGAGAGGAGAGACAGAAACATCAATGATGAGAGAGAATCATTGATCGGCTGCCTTCTGCATGCCCCACACTGGGGATCGAGCCCACAACCCACGCATGTGCCCTTGACCGGAATCGAACCTGGGACCCTCCAGTCCTCAGGTCGATGCTTTAGCCACTTGAGCCAAACCAGCTAGGGCCATTTGGCTCTTAAATTGTCCAAGTGTCTCTCTTGCCTCCCTAACAAGATGAAGAACCCCTTTCTCGGGGGCAGGGCCCATGCATCTCTGGTGTCCACACAGAACACTTAGCGAGCAAAGACTCAAACTGCTGGAGCAAGCACATGTTTCTTTCCCTCCCACCAGGTGTCCTGGCTTTTCCTGAGGTGTGCCACCACCAGCTGTTGGGAGGCAGAACAGGGGACAGTCAGTTAACCAGGGGTGGCCCTGGGGCAGGTGGGAGGAGCAGTCAGAACCAGTGCAAGCAGCCCAGAAGCCACAGATCAGGGTGAGGGGTGGCCGAGACTCCTGGCTCAGGATTCCTCCTCTGGAAGCATCCCTGTCCCAACCAAGGGACTCTCACACCTTTCTTCTAGAAGCAGGGCTATACCCTGAACTTAAACCTCACAAGCTATAAAAACGCATAGTTTTCTTGAAGCTACATACCTGAGTTAGTTCCCTGTAGCTGCTAATTACCATAAACCAAGTGCCTACTAGTAAAAACAACAGAAGCGTGTTCTCACTCCGTTCTGGAGGCCAGAAATCTGAAGTCGGTATCCCTGGGCTGGAATCACGGTGTCAGCAGGACCATGTTCCCCTGGAGGCTCTAAGAGAGAATGTGTTCTTGTCTCCTCCAGTGGCTGTCAGTGTTCTGGGCTCGAGGCTGCCTTGACTTCTCATCACCTCCTCTGTGTGTGTACTCAAGTCTCCCTCTACCTCCTTCGTGTAAGACTACACATGATTGCACCCAGCTAATCCAGCATTATCTCTAGGGCTCAAGATTCTTAACTTAATCATATCTGCAAATATTTTTGCAGATAAAGTAACATTTACAACTCCCAGGGGGTAGAACCATGTGTCTTAGGGACCATTTTCTGGCCTACCACAGTCCCAGGAAGGGTAATAGCCCTTGGATTTAACCTTATTTGGGGAGAATTATGATAAAAATCTAGCTTTGTCAATGACCGGGCTGGTGCCTATGATGCTGAGTATTTTTTCTTTTTCTTTTCTTCTTTTTTCCATCACCATTTATCCCCCTTATACCTTCTTCCACCTCCCCCATCCTCCCTCACAATCACCACACTGTTGTCCATGTCCATGAGTTCCCTTTTTTTCCTTTTTGCTCAATCCATCCACCTCACTGAACACCGCCCTCCCCCCACAACAGATCTGTCTGCCGACTCTCTAGGAGAAAGTATTTTTTCAACCTTTTTTATTGGGACATAATGCATAGAGAGAAAAGTATGCAAACACTGATATATCACAAGGGGAACGCTTGTGTAAACACCACCTGGGTCAAGAAAGAATGCACCCTGCCCCCCAGCTCCCCTTCCTGTCCCTCCCAATTGCCTCATCTTCTCCCCCAAAGTAACCCCATCATGGCTTTTATGACATCGCCCCATTTTCTTTATCAGCCGTTCTACTTTGCTATTGTTTTTGAACCTTCTATAAATGGCATTGTACCGAGCGTCGTTTTGTCTAAGCTTCTTTCATTTCTCCCTTCTGTTGGTGATGGACATTCGAGTTGTTTTCAGTTGGGACAATTAGGAAAATTGCTGCTCTGAAGGATCTTGTATGTTTATGGATGCACATGGGCTCATACTTCCCTTGGGTACATACCTGAGAGCAGAACTGCATGGTCTTGCAATGGTCTCACTCTAGTGGATAATCTCAAACCACTTGCATACTTGGTACACATTCATCAAGACCCACTGAGTGTCCAGTCTGTGCATTTTGTTGTATGCAAATTACAACTAACAATATAAGTCCTTCATTATACATCCCACAGCTTCAACCCAAGAAATCCTGACCACAAGTTCCAGCTCGACCAGATTCTATCTCGGTGTCCAACACTTTGTAGTTAGGGAGAAAGAGGAACGAGATCTGAAGGGAGAAGAGAGAAGCAAGAGGGAATCGCTCTGGCACCTTCTTACCTTGTCACACGTAGGAGAGATGGCCCCTCCCAAGAATACGGAGGCTCCACCTGTCCCAGCCAATAGTACACACCTCTGGTCCATTCCTCACCGCTCTTAAAGATCTTAAGAACAGTGAATTAAGATAGTGGCTCTGTTTCCATTCATCTGTGGTTTCATTTTCATTAAATTTGGCCTCAAGTACTATTTGGGAAGAAGTGCATGCATGCATATTGCTGAACTAAGATGTTTTTTCTAAAGTTCATTTTTTAAAAATCAGATTAAGTTACTCAATGCAATATTTGCTTCTCTCTCACTCCCAGGGAACAAATGTGACCTGTGGGAGAAACGGCATGTTCTGTTCGAGGATGCCTGCACGCTGGCTGAGAAATACGGCCTCCTTGCTGTTTTGGAGACATCAGCTAAGGAGTCCAAGAACATAGACGAAGTCTTCGTGCTCATGGCCAGGGAGCTGATCGCCCGCAACAGCCTGCAGCTGTATGGGGACGGCGCCCTGAACCACCTGCCCCTGGACTCCAGTCCAGTCCTTATGGCCCAGGTGCCAAGTGAAAAGACCCACTGCACTTGCTGAGTGTGGTCACCCAGCCAATAGCACCCACCAGAGGGCATCGCTAAACCAAAGGTGGCGGGTCTTCTAGTGTCTGCTGAGTAGCATTTCAGACCCAAGTGTAGACTTGCCACTAGTTCTCAATCCTGGGTTCAGACCAGAGGCCACAACAGCTGACTCTGAGGCCAGGGGATACCACTGTCCTTTCCGATTTTGCCTTGGACCTAAAAGCACAGGGTTAGGAGGACAAGGTTTTCTCTTTTTCATCTCTTTTCTGTCTTCCCAACCCTTCAACTATGTTTCCACTGACCTTTGCTTCTCACTTGAAGAAGAGGGTAGTGAGAAAAGATCAAAGAGGGGCGAGGATGCTTGGAACACTCCGGAACAGTTTAAAACAGCTTGGTCATGGGCAGATGAGAAAAAAGCCTGCAGTGATAAGTCAGAATGCCGTTAACATTTGCTTCCTGATAGTCACACCTCAGGGTTTTAGTTTGGGGAGCAAAGCCTTTTGATATAAAGACCATAAATACCTCTTGCCAAATGGTCAGGAGCCATGTGATGGAGACAGAACTGGATTTCACTTCATTCTATTTGGGCTGATGTGGGAGACGTCTACAGTTCCTTTCCAAAACACCACGTTGGCTGCTGGATCAGAAGGCATTTCTGAATAGTAATTAATTTGGCTCACAGGTGAATAGCAAACCAATATTGACCTCACAGTATGGCCCTGGGCACACCATGTACCTGTAGCACACTGGTTTTTCTTTTTTTTTTCTTTTTTAAAATATATTTTATTGATTTTTTACAGAGAGGAAGGGAGAGGGATAGAGAGTTAGAAACATCGATGAGAGAGAAACATCCATCAGCTGCCTCCTGCACACCCCCTACTGGGGATGTGCCCGCAACCAAGGTACATGCCCTTGACTGGAATCGAACCTGGGACCCTTCAGTCCGCAGGCTGACGCTCTATCCACTGAGCCAAACTAGTCAGGGCCACACTGGTTTTTCAAAGTTCCCCCGATGGTTGTTGCTGAACTGCATCTTACAGTCACAGTAAGAACCACAAAGGCCTGTCCAACCACATCAGCTCCAAAAAAGGGAAATGTCTCTGGGAGCTCTCCCTGGGCCCAGGTGAGTGCCCACAGGCATTTCTCATTGATAGCAGCACAATCAATAGGCTGAACCTACCTTCCGTTAATGGCTCACACCAATTTCCCTTCATTTCTCTGCACATCAGTCTCAACCAACACTGAAAACCTCATCAGCATCCAGGGTTATGCACTCAGGATTATCTGGAATTGAAATGTTCCTACCAACAGGCTAGACATGTGAAAACGGGGTCGCCTGAACACCAGGAACCTGTGATTAACCACCTGGGCTTCTGTTGAAATGATGGGGCTGTGACAGAAACCCTCGAGGGGTTTGGTTACCTGGCCTGAGCGGTCTGGTTACCTGGCCTGGGAACCAGCTCAGGCAGGCTCCTCTCTGTAGCTGTGGTCTCAGAAAGCTACATGTTAGCTCAGTTCTGGCATATTTCTCACACTCCCAAAGCTGTGTCGTTGATAACAAGTTATGTGAAATTAAGTTACAAGAGACATTTCAGAAGAATAAAAAGATTGTGTCTTCATATTTTGTTCGCCAGTGTCAAGTACATTTCCATGTGTGCAAAAATCTGTTATTTCATTGTTCACAGACTGTTCCTGAACCTCTTCCCCACTCTATTATTAGTAATAGGAATCTATATATAGTACATAAAAGGCTAAGTGACTGGTAGTTATGACGGGCACTGACCACCAGGGGGCAGATGCTCAATTTGCAGAGTGCCCTCTTGCACTCCAGGACTCCTTGGGGGATGTCAGACTGCCTGGTTTCTCCCCATAGGCCAGGCCGAGGGACCCCACCAGTGCACAAAAACATGCACCAGGCCTCTAGTGTTACTATAATGGTATTAATACAAACAATTACTATATATGCCCAGCACTGAACCAAACACTTCATTTATACTAATTCAATGAATCTTGTCAACTATCTTTGAAGTAGGAGCTATTTTTAATTCCTAATTTTAAAATGAAGATACAAGTCCTGGCCAGTGTGACTCAGTTGGTTGAGCATCATCCTGTGCACCAAAAGGTCCCGGCTTGATTCCTGGTCAAAGCACTTGCCAAGGTTGTAGGTTTGGTCCCCAGTTGGGGTACTGATGTTTCTCTCTCCCACTCCCTTCTTCTAAAATCAATAAAAACATATGATACAGCCCTGACCGGTTTGGTTCAGTGGATAGAGCATCGGCCTGCAGACTGAAAGGTCCTAGGTTCGATTCCAGTCAAGAGCATGTACCTTGGTTGCGGGCACATCCCCAGTAGGGAGTTTGCAGGAGGCAGCTGATCCATGTTTCTCTCTCATCGATGTTTCTAACTCTCTATCCCTCTCCCTTCCTCTCTGTAAAAAATCAATTAAAATATTAAAAAAAAACAACATATGATACAGAGAGAGTAAGATCAGTCACACAACTAGGAGGTGGCACAGCCAGGATCCAAACCCAAGCAACTTGGTTCCAGAGCTCACTTTTTTAAAATTTGAATTTATTGAGGAAAACATCAGTTAATACAGAGACCTTTTTTGTTGTTGTTAGTCCTCACCGGAGGATATTTTTTCCATTGATTTTTTTTTTTAGAAGGTGTGGAAGGGAGGGAGGTGAGAAAAACATCAATGTAAGAGATACATCGATTGGTTGCCTCCTGCATGCACCCTGAGTGGGGCCAGGATGGAACCTACAACGCAGGTGTGACATTGATTGGAAATCGAACCCGTGACCCCTTGGTGTGAGGGCTGACACTAACCACTAAACAATACCAGCCAGGGCCAGGGCCCAGGCCCACTCTTATTATGCTACACTCCCTCTCAGATCAGATTTGGGTTCTATCATGTTAACCCCTCATCCTCCTCCACACACAAATGCACACAAAGAGAGAAACATACTCATTAGAAGATATGCTCACGCATACATTTCAGCATCATAAACGCTGAAGGGCAGCCCTGGCTGGTTTGGCGCAGTGGATAGAGCATCAGCCTGCGGACTGAAGGGTCCCAGGTTCGATTCCAGTCAAGGGCACATGCGTGGGTTGTGGGCTCGATCCCCAGTAGGGGTCATGCAGGAGGCAGCCGCTCAGTGATTCTCATCATTGATGTTTCTCTCTCCCTTCCTTTCTGAAATCAATAAAAATATATTTTTTTAAAAAAGCTGAAGGGCATCAGACACAGTAGGAGGTGGTAATATTAGGCTCGACCTATCAAATATAGAGCAGGGTCTGAAATATGCCAGGCCCAGCCTGAGTTCACTTCTGTTTAACATGGATGTGGAGTCGCCAGCTCACTCACATGGATGTGGAGTCACCCGTGCACGGTTGCATGGGTGACCCAAGGCAAACCAGGCTGGGTTCCATCAGCCACTCCAGCACAAGGCTCAGATGGAAAGGATGGGGAAGAACTCAGCAAAGCAAGCACACATCAGTGCTCCCTGCGGGCAGTGTGCAAGCCTCCAGGGATGGAGCATTTCAGAGGATTCACATCAAAGGCGTAATAGTGCCTGCTTCAATTTTTCGTTTTCAAATATGTCATCTATTCAAGAGCCTGTGCTCAATTACTGAGTAACGCTGGCAAGATACACCTAGTTGGTTTGCCATTCAGTAGAAAATTGCCAGCTACTAAGGTGGTTTTGACCTCAGATAGTTTCTTTTGTGTTTATTTTTAATACATTGTTTAATTTATAGCCAGAAATAATTGCTAAAGACTGGAAGCACCAGGAATGCTGAAATGAAAGTGAAAGGAGCACAGAAGAGATATAATTATACAGTGTATCAAGATGGCTCTAGAACTTGAAAGACCAACATTTGAGAGACGACAGAGCCCTGACCCGTGTAGCTTGGTTGGGCTCATCCCATGTACTGAAAGGGTTGCTGGTTCACCTGGGGTGCCAATCGCTCTCACATTGATGTTTCTTGCTCCAAAAATCAATTTAAAAAACCTTTTCTTAAAAAAAGAGAGACCATAGAGTGATGATTTTATATTTAATTAGTTTTTCTCACTGGGAATAAAGACTACCCACTCATAATGTGTTCATGTTTATTTTACTTTATTGGGGTGACATTGGTTAATAACATTATATAGGTTTCAGGTGTACATTTCTATAATACATCACCTGTATAATGTATTGTGTGTCACCACCCAAAGTCAATAATGTGTTAATTCTTAGAAAGTTGATTGAAAATAGCAGCCTGAAGCCTTCTCATCTAATATAGAAACAAAATTCTAATTTCAAGAATAAATTTTATTAATTTGGAAAAACACCAAAACATTTTTTTAAGCACAGAATACAGGCATTCGCTATATCAGAGCATGTGTTTGTGTTGTGGTTGCCTATCTCTATTTTATTGTCTATTATCAAACCCAAACATGGGTTATTTTAAAATCCAGCAATACTCTAAAATAAATAAAAACAACTTAGGCAGTGGGCCTCACTGTGGTAAATACAAATATAAAGAATTGCACTTTCTGAATTTACCACAATTTAAAAAAATTTAAGTGGGCAAATTGTAGGCTATGTGCATTATATCTCACTAAAACTGTTCAGCCATAAGTATTTCTTTTTAACTTTAACCATTATATACCATGTAAAAACACTGAACTATTTTTGAACCTCTAAGGCAGTGGTTCTCAACCTTCCTAATGCCACGACCCTTTAATACAGTTCCTCATGTTGTGGTGACCCCCAACCATAAAATTATTTTCATTGCTACTTCATAACTGTAATTTTGCTACTGTTATGAATCGTAATGTCAATATCTGATATGCAGGATGTATTTTCAGGGGTCGCAACCCACAGGTTGAAAACCGCTGCAAGGGAATTACTAAGATTACCGGTCCTGGCACAGTGCCTGGAAGGCACTCAAATACTTTAAAAACAGATAGTTACTTTCATCTTATTAAAAATGTTATTCAGCCCTGGACAGTGTGGCTCAGTTGGTTGAGTGTTGTCCTGTACACAAAAAGGTTGCCAGTTCAATTCCCAGTCAGCGCTCATGCCCAGATTGCTGGGGCTCGTCCCCTGGTAGGGGGTGTGCAGGAGGCAGCTGATCCATGTTTTGCTCTCACATACACGTTTCTCTTTCTCTCCCCCTTCCTTCCTCTCTCTAAAACCAATTAAAAAAAATTTTTTTGATGTTAACAGTTTTAACACAAGAAGGGCAGGGGAAGAGTGAGTTAGTGCATCTGCATCTACATAAAAGGAAAATAAGCCCCCTTTAAAAGGGCAAATTTGCCCTAGCCGGTTTGGCTCAGTGAATAGAGGGTACTGGGTATGATTCCAGTCAAGGGCACATACCTTGGTTGCAGGATCCTCCCCGACCTGGGCCCTGGTCAGGACTCATGCTGGAGGCAACCAATCGATGTTTCTCTCACAATGTTTCTCTGTCTTTCCCTCTCTCTTCCGCTCGCCCTAAAAAAATCAATGGAAAAATATAGAGTGAGGATTTAAAAAAAGGGGGGGGGGGGGCGGGCGGGGGACAAATTTATCATCAGAATTGGGTCTTCCTTTAAACAAATTTTTGTCTTACTAATTCAGTTTTACATTTTAGATTACTTCTCCAGTTAACAAAGACAGGAGTTGATACAGCCTTGTAGAAGTCAATTTCTAAGTATTTACTAAGGGGAATAAGCTTCTGATTAAAAGAAAATTAAGTGCATCAGTTGAACCTAAAAATATTTATTTGTTCAGGTACCACACGGTATGTATCTCTTCTATGCACTGCAAGGAAGCAGCAACACAGAGACCTGGTAAGATCTCGGGTATTTTCTATTATCAGCATGAGATCTCCTCCTGTCACGCAACACAAATACTAGTAAGCACCTTGTCACAATCTAAAAAGGCTGTTTAAATGTTTTGTGAAGTAAGTCCTAGACACTGTGGAAGTAATAAAGCCGCCACCTTTGGAGACAGTAATACTGTGTTAATCACTTCAGATATAAATCACAAAGGATTTACTGTTTAAATATTTTTAAAATCCTTTTCTCACTTAGAGGTAAATCCCTTTGCTGCTGAAGCCCTGGAAACCCTCACACTGCCTCTAAGAGATTTATTTTGAGGGCCATTTAAAAACTTAGCCTCTAGCCCAGTGATGGCGAACCTATGACACGCGTGTCAGAGGTGACACGCGAACTCATTTTTTTGGTTGATTTTTCTGTTAAATGGCATTTAAATATATAAAATAAATATCAAAAATATAAGTCTTTGTTTTACTATGGTTGCAAATATCAAAAAATGTCTATATGTGACACGGCACCAGTTAAGTTAGGGTTTTTCAAAATGCTGACACGCCAAGCTCAAAAGGTTCGCCATCACTGCTCTAGCCCTAAATGGTTTGGTTCAGTGGATAGAGCATAAGCCCATGGACTGAAGGGTCCTGGGTTCGATTCCGGTCAAGGGCTTGTACCTCGGTTGCAGGTTCCCTGGCACTGATTGGGGTGTATGCAGGAGGCAACCATCAGATGTGTCTTTCTCACATCGATGTTTCTCTGTCTCTCCCTCTCCCTTCCACTCTCTAAAAAATAATGGAAAAATATCTTCGGGTGAGGATTAACAAACAAAAAAAGACTTAACCTCTAGCTTCCTTATTTACAACAATTTAAATAAGTGCTACTGACTTACTTAACTATTGCACAAAGTTTCCTTCTAAAAAAATATACATTTTCAGTAGTAATAATTAATGCCTAAGAGTAGGCCAAAAAGCAAATAATTTGTAATGTTTTTCCTACTAACATCTATATACCACGGAGTGATTTCAAACCAGTTTGTTTAACGATTCACTCAAACACCTTACAATTTACTTTTTACTTATCTGAGAGGCGCCTAAAAACATTAAAATGAGTATTTCAAATATTTAGATTTCCTTATAAAAAAAGGTCTTTCAACAGATGGTTTCAACACGGGATAGGCTGTTAGGCTGTGACAACAAAGATTCCAAATCGCAGCGGCCTTTCACCTCAAGGTTTATTTCATGCTCAGGTCCTATGTTGCTCTGGTCAGCTGAGTGTCCTGCTCTACCCCTCACCCCACTGCACCCAGGCCACCTTCTCAGAAATGGTCGACTGCCAGGGAAACGGGGAGAGTGAGGGAAAGTCATGAGCTGGCTCTTAAAATTTGCATCAATTTTGTTCACATTTCACCAGCCTAAGGAAGTTCGATGGGGTCTGCAACTACACGGTGCCCTCCCAAAGGTGAGCGGCACTAAGCGATGTTAGACACCTTTACCAGCATCAGACTGAGACAGGCCAGTGAGCCAGGGCAGGTGGAATAGGGAAACTGAGACAGAGAGGGAACAAACTGACAGCAATTTACAGCAGACATGGGTCACCTCCCTAGAAATACTATCTAGGCCTCAGTTGTATTTCAGCTCCAGACCCAGAAAAGCAGCAAAACCAGGTGGGCAACACCAGGACCAGCGTCAATGACTGAGGACCCCCTGCCCTGACACTGACCAATCAGTGAAGACCTGGCCCTGGAGGACCACACCCAGAAAACTGATTATTCTGCTGAAAGCCTTCCTTGGGCCCTCCCCCAGCCAGGGAGAGAAAAAGCCCCAAAGCCTCAGGACAAAGGACTCAGCAGATGCTCTCCTTCTGGGAAGCAGCACCCACCATTCCCCTTCCTACTTCCCCCAAAGGCATACATCTCCTAAACCCTAGACTCCACAAGGCTTGCAACTAGGGGCGGCAGCTTGTCCCAGGCCAACTCCAGAATCTGATATCAAGGCCCCCTTTTCTCTGACTTCCCAGAGAGCTAGGGCAACCCAGCCTAGTCTCTCCTGTTGCTTCTTCTATGCTAAGCCCTTCCTTGTTTTATGTCCCCAGCTCTAATAAATGTTCCCCCATTAGTCACCTGGACTTATGCTGTGAAATTTTTCCTGCACAAAGTCAAGAACCCACACACTGCCAGCTGGCTCTAGGCAGACCTTCCAAGGGCCAGGTCCCCTTTCTGGCATCAATACCTTCCCCCCCCAAATCTTCAGCAAGGATTTGCTTCACCTTTTCCTCCAACCTTCTAAATAAGAATGTGTCCACAGGAGTTAGTCACAGAGGCAAGCATAACTTATCCTGTGGTGGCAGGAAAGGGGCTGAGATTGTTAATTTGTGCAAATGAGAAAGTTTGACGTTCCACCCAACACTGTTGGTCCTCCAACCCTTTTTGCAATTGGCAACCACACTGAAGTCACAGTGACAAGAGAGCAACACCCATTATGAATTCGCTAAAACATGAGCTTCCATTGCCTCTTCTAAGACACAAAGGAGCTGCTCCAAACATAAACCTATGGAAAGGCCAGAAGCTCTCATCACGCCTATACCCTTCTCCCCAGACTCAGATATGCTCACAGGGTGGCTCCTGCGGAGTCTCTTCCTTGCTTTCTGGACACCAAAAAGCAGAAGTCTCCCCCGCCTCCCGCCCACTCATGCCTCAGGCTCGCAGCATCCCTGGGGGCACGTGGTCCCCAGCCTGGCAGCAGCAGCTTAGGGTGGATGCCTGGCATTTCTGGGTGGGAGCAGCTGGTCTGTGAGCTCACAAAGGCTACTTGGGGGGTCCACAAGCTGTTACTATGGCTACAATAAGCCAATATACACAACTCCTAGATGTGGAAACATTTTCAATAGCCTAAATTCTTAGACATCAAAACTAGAAATGCCAAAAAGGTATTTTATTAATAAAATTTCATAATAGAATTAGGCAGAGCACGGGACCTACCTGTTATTTGCAGGAATGAGGCAGGTTCACGTATGGCAGCGCCTGTGGTGGCCTAATAGCTAGTCTTACCAATTCTAAAATACAGGCTAGTTTGATGATCCTGTTGGCAAGGTTCCCTCTCACACATTTCTCAGCGGGCTAGATGTCTTAGGAAAGATGTCACTGTATCCACAGAAATTTGACTCACTGATGAACTGATCAAAGAGTCAGTGAAAGAAAAACAGTATTTCAAACAGCTCATTACACGAGACAGAAAGACAACTTAGGGTTTTTTATTGTTTTATTTGGGAAAGTGCTTCTTACAAAAGGGCAGCTGTAAAATACAGAGACCTCTGTAACAATGACTTGTTTTTCTTAAAGTGAAAGAATGGGTGGGATCCAAGGAATCAAAAGCAGTCGATGGGACAACTTAGGAGCATCTCCAAGTTATTTTCAGGAAACAGCAACAAAATTCAAGCTAAATTTTTCAATCAAGGAATTCTAACAATTTAGCTTGTCTTGTGAATTACCAACCCAACCCCACCCCCCTTGAGTGGGAAAGCATAACTTATTACTGCAAACCAATGACTCCACTACAAGAAACACCTTAGAACACAGTTTTGAATCACATCTGTCTACCTGCAAAGTACAGGGATGGAATGAGGCACATACCCACAAAAACACAAAAACCTCACAACAAAACCCCTCAAGCGAGGACAAAGGTTTGCCAAAAGGTGCCTGAACTGGAGAGGGTAAGAGATCATTAAGCATTAAATACAACTGTGTATCCACAACCCCGTTTTGTGTTAAGATATGGGATAACCAGATAGTTTACCCTCTATGGCTAAGCCCATTTATTCATATAGACAAAGCTAGCACTGCTCTAGTAACGGCTACCAACATACTGCTTTGTCCTGTAAGGTCTAGTCACCACACGAGGCTGAACCACTAAGCCAAGGTTTTCCACTAAGGCTAAGAACACTGCACCGAGGCAGGGATGCGAGGCTGACCACACACTCGCACTCACACATGCCAAGTCTACCAGCTTTTGGGAGTCAACCTCAATTCTGCATTTCTTTTATGCCAGTAAATCATTCTTTTAGAATCTTCCTGTCATACTGAACAGTAAAAATCTCCACACATTCGCACCTGGTTATGGTTATCCAGTAGTCATTACTTGTGTGCAATTATCAAGAGACCAAAACCACAGAACAAGTGCACAGGGTAGGGATTGTGGGGTAGGGAACATATAAAAACACAGATGTGCAGATTTTAGCAGAAACCTCAAGTATCCGCCTCTAGGTCTGTAGCACAGGCTACTTGCCACAGTTCAGATCCTTCACCTATCACCTCTTCTTGGACCCCTGAGCAGGGCCAAGGCTGTGGCTTTTGAACCTGGGTCCTTAGAATGAGTGCAGCACGTCCATGAACACCCTCCAACTGTGTGAATCTGGTTGAAAACAGATGACGCAACAAACCTACACTAACTGTCTGACAGTTAAGCTCGTGTTACAAAAAACTAACTTTAAGGTTTATTTTTGTAACTTTTTAACCAGAGGAAACAACATACTCCTTGGGGAAAGGTGAGGGAGTAAGAAGACAGGCCCTGGGTACGAAGTATTACGACAGCACCTGGAGTTGCTAGGCCTGCCTAGGAGACACGGGCACTGCCACACCACCACAGGGGACAGCCACTGTCTGGGCTCAGCAGACCAGTTCCCACGCCACGCAAAGCTGCTATAGGTCCAAGTCATAAAAGTCTTCCAGCTCATCGTGAAACAAGTCCCACTCGTCTTCAGAGTCTGTCAGCTCGTCGTCGTCGTCCCCACCTGCAGCCAAAAGCATAAGCAACATCTCGCCCAGCTCAAAGGTGACAACCTCTTCTTCATCGTCAAAGGGGTTGCTGTTCTCTCTTTCCTCAATGAGCTCCCAGAAGTGGTTCCTTCGTTGGGCCTGTAAAAAACAAGGCCATGATAGGGGTGGCACTGTCGAGTGGTATCTTCTATTCTCTCCTTTCTAAGGCAAAACGTCCAGCACACCAGAGGGCATGGCGAACCCGACTTCTCGTTTAGGGTTCCATTTTACCAATTCCTCCCCGCTGGCTACAAGATGCACAGGTTTAGACTAGAGTTTTAAGCGTTCTAGCTCTTCCTCTCATGCCCCTCCCAGTCTCCTGAGGTTGGTTTCCTGCTTTAATACTCTAGTTTCGCTCCCAGACCTGAGTGTTAACTTTCTCCTTCCCCTACCCCAATCTGTGCAGGACTCACTGAGATGGTGGGATTTTCCCTTCTTTAAAAAAAGTGAGAATTACCCGGTATCTGCTTGATGTTCCCACTTTCTGTCTCTGTGGCTCCTCTCTACGGCCATCGGGGTACGCATGCTTGTAAAAACAGTTCCCTCCAAATGGGCAGCTCCCACGTCCTTCATCAAAATACCTGCACGCCTTGTTGCTGGAAAGGAAAATATCGCAACCCTTATTCACAGTGGATTTCAGGTCTGTATGCAACTAGCATCCAGGATTTCTCTAAAGAGCTCGGGATAGAACCGGTATGTCAGTTTAAAGGTGTGTGTGCTAATGCATGAAACACTAGCTAGAAACAGATACTCTGTCCAAGTCTAACTGGAATCTAACAGCTCTACCATGGCAGATCCAGCAGAGAGAAAACCTTCTAGAAAGCACCCCACCACCCCAAGAGCATAGGACAAGTATAACATGAATTGAGAAAGATGGGGCCCTAGTTATGGGGCTTTAGTTACAAAAGCACAGACTTCATTGTAACATGGTCCCTTGGCACACACCCCAAGGACTGCGCTATGGCAAGACACGTAATGGGTGTTACCGGGGGTGACAAAATAAACTGTCCTGGGAAGTAAAAGGAAGGGTAGGAAGGAGGTAGGAGTATATAACGCAGCCTGTTCTTTTCAAAGTGAACCCAAGCTCCGCTGGGATCTTGACTGAAGAAAAGGCTGCAGTGCTCATACCTCATTGCCTCCTTGTATTTCTGAATGAGTTTCTGCTTCTCTTCTTTCTCCTCCACCCAGTACTCACTTGGAATGACAAAGTTAGATGTGATTCGGCATTCTGGGCAGGACCTGGGAAACAATGAACAGGCTGCAGTGCACATTCCCCTTTACAGGCCCACTCTTCAAGGACACACCCTGGTGTGTCACCTCCAGATTCACAGACTTAAACTCCAAGTCAGTGGGCATCTCCTGAAAGGGCTCCCAACATTGTCACACAACTGACCATTTCCTTTGAGGCAAGACAAGCTCCTTTATAAATTCAGCTTACTGGCTAGCCAGTTCATTAAAAAAAAAAAAATAGAACTTAAGTTAAAATAAGCAACAAAAGAAGACATTTCACACAGACTCCTTTTTCTTTCGTTTAAATAAATTTATTTCTTGTAACTTTGCTCTGTTTACGTTATGTTGTTTTTGTTCAGTTATGAGAACAATCTTTAAAGGATGGTGGATTATTGGCTAGCTTAATGGATGAAATAGGAAAGTGGCAAATGTAAAACGTCAGGAAACATACATTCAGAGCTAGGTAAGCTTGTTCACTGAGCCTAAAGGAGCTAATCCGTTAAACAATCTCCTCAGAAAAAGCTTCTACTGACTGTTACATAGGGTTTCCTCATTCAAATAAAAGTAAATATACCAACTAACCTACAAGCTAGCTGAAATACAAACAAGAAACCCCAATTCAAAGAATACCCCCGTTTCAAGGTAAAATGCATGCATTTAAATGCGGTCCATCTGCTTGAAAGTTGGCACAAGACACTAAATTCTTCCCCAAAATAGAAAGCACAAACGAAGGTTGGGGAGGAGTCTCACTTTATGATCTTGCTCTCAAATTGCTTAGCACTCCTCCACTTGCGAATACACTTGAGACAGTAGGTGTGGTTGCAGTTGGAGAGGATCCCGAAGCGGCGCTCACTAGGGTTGGCTTTCTCATAGACCACCTCCATGCAGATCCCACACACTTTGTCCTTACTGCGCTGGATGGCAAACGAGAGCTCCATGTCCTTCTCATGGGCCTCAATGCAAGACTGGAAAAAGTGGAGAGAGAAGTGTAATCAAGTCACTGGACAATGCAAGACTTCACCGGACAGTTAATGACTCGTGTTCAGAGAACCAGAGTCAGCTGAAGAGTTAGTGTTCCCAATCTGACAGCAGCTTTGTTCGTTCACAAGTACAGGTACACTGACATTTTGGGACTTGACATTACCACAAAAGTCACACAATAAGGACTTAACTTCAGGAACTGAAAAATTATACAATTTTCTCAATCCTGCAGGCCAACCCCTGTTATCTTCATTAAAGACCGTTTGCAGGCTAAGTTTATTGACTTTCTCATTTCTAGATGGAAAATGCAATTGGGATTAAGGCCCTAATTTATAATCTGTCAGAAAACAGGGTGAATGAAACTAACATTTATTAGGTGGCAATTATGTGCCAGGCACATAATTTGCACATAAAAAACAGCTTTACTGAGATATAATTCACATACCAGGTAATTCACTCATTTAAAGTGTACAATTAGCCCTGGCCAGTGTGGCTCAGTTGGATGGACTGTCATTCTGTGCATGGAGGTCACCAGTTTGATACCCAGTCAGGGCACACACCCAGGTTGCCATCTCCATCCCCAGTTGGGGGGGCTGGGGGGACGACATGCAGGAGGCAGCCTGATGTTCCCTTTCACATCAATGGTTCGTATTCTCTCTCCCTCGCCTTTCTCTCTAGAGAAAAATCTCTTAGTGTGAGGGCCTTACTTCTTGATAAAGCATTCAAAAAGCCCAAGAAGGAAAATATCCCCACTGACCAATATTTCAATTCACCAAAAGTTTCTCTGAAATGAACCAAACAAACGGGCAATGCTGTGAAAAGAAAAATATAGTCCCCATACCTATTAACATTATGTCATCCTAAAAACTTACTTTTATGTGCTGTGATCTCTGGGCTGCGTCCACTGGGTGTAGGACCTGCAGCCCGCACATGTCACACGGGTCTCCGTGGAGATACACGCAGTTCTCCCCGTAGCGGCACTCTCCCACCGCTGCATAGGGACAGAGCTGCTTCTTCGTGTCCACGGCCGTTGGCTCCTTCTCTGGCTCTTCCTTGGTCACTGAGCCCTGCAGGGGTGCTTCAGTGCAAGAAGGGGCAGCTGAAATGTTTAGGAGAGTGGTAAAGGTCCAACATGGATCAGGCAGATAAACCGAGAGCCTAACTGAAAACTTTCATTGAACTCCAGAACAGTTTACTAAACTAATTTTCTTACTCTTGGAAGAAATGAATTTTTTTTTCTAATGCTGGTATTTCCGAGATTAGGCTGGTAAAAGGGGGGTGGGGAGCTCTTTATGTATCTCTTGTGCAACTGTACTGATAAAGGGAAGCTTCAGTTTTTCAACATTCTAAATTCAATACTATTGGGATTCACTGAGTTTCTTTCACTCCACCTGTCAGTTTCAGGTAACTCATTTAGACTATTACAATTAGGCTGCATGTGAAGACTGGCAACCAGAAGGTTGTGAAAACTCAGTTAATTGATGCACTACTATCTAGCCCTCTGGCTTGTTTTTATTCCTCAAAATACTCACTACGGCCACAGTAGGGCTGCCCGGGAACAAACTCAATGGCATTCACCCAGTCTTCTGAACCTGCTCCTACAGTTGCAAAGTTTGAATTTGACTCAGCCTCGCCCGTATTCATTTCAACAATCGGTCCAACTACTGGTGAGAGACTTGAGGAAGCAGCAAGGGATGGTTTTGCAGTTAGATCTGTAGCAGTTGCTTCTTCCTGTTTCAATGGTTTGCTATGTTCGTATCTAAAAAAATAAATAAATAAAAAATTAAAAGTCAGTAGTCGCAGTCTAAGCAGAACCCTCTAGATAGGATATCTATTCCCTGATCCGTCCTTGGGTTCTTTGTAAACTGCTGTGCACATGAATCATCTGGGAAATTGTTCGAAGGCAGACACCTATTCTGCACCCACGTGATGCTCACATTGCTGGCCCAGAGACCACACTTGCGGAACAAGGTCACAGACAAGGGACAGACAACGTTGGACTGTGTGGCCAAAACAGACTGATTCATCAAAGCAAGGCTGACACTCAAATTCAACAAGTGGAAATATGGACACATTTTACCAAAAAATAAATTTAAATGTTCCCATTACTAAAATCCAAACTGTTACCTTCATATTCCTACTTTGCTTTGTAGTACAAATCATTTTGAGTTTCCTGCTATCGGCTACAAAAGCCAATGCATTTTATTCCATAGCCTGGAATCATGCAAACTGAGCACTGAGAGGAAGGAGCTATCATGAATATGCTTTTATCATCTTACTGCCTCCACAAAAAGCGTGAAGGAAGTATTCTTTCATCATTTTAGAGGTGATGTAGACGATGAAATGGTCAAATAAGTGGTATGCTAGGTCTCATGTAAATCGTAAGCTGCTTTTCACAAAATGGCAACAATTGGCCAAATCTAGCTACTTATCCCGCCCCCCCTTTTTTTAGTATTTATTTTATTTTATTTTATTTTTGGTAATCCTCACCTGAGGATATTTTCCCATTGATTTTTAGAGAGTGGAAGAGAGAGGGAGAGACAGAAACATTGATGTGAGAGAAACACATCGATGGGTTGCCTCCTGCACATGCCCCAACCAGGGCCCCAGCCAGGGAGGAACCTGCAACCGAAGTATGTGGCCTTAACAGGAATCGAACCCATGACCCTTTGGTCTGCAGGCCGACGCTCTATCCACTGAGCCAAACCAGCCTGGACTAGCTACTTATTCTTTTTTTTTTTTTTTAATATATTTTATCGATTTTTTTAGAGAGGAAAGGAGAGGGATATAGAGTTAGAAACATCAATGAGAGAGAAACATCGGTCAGCTGCCTCCTGCACAACCCCTACTGGGGATGCGCCTGCAACCAAGGTACATGCCCTTGACTGGAATTGAGCCTGGGACCCTTCGGTCCGCAGGCCGACGCTCTATCCACTGAGCCAAACCAGTTAGGGCTAGCTACTTATTCTTAAATGAAATTTAGAACTCAGTTCCTTGGCCCGTGCAGTAGCCACTTTTTCAAGTGTTCCAGAGCTATACATAGCACATTTTCACTATCAGAAGCACTGCTCTGATTTAGTTTTAAAACCACAGGAAACCTTGGAAATCTAGCCCCAAATCCTCACATTTCAGATTAATTCCCTGACTTGAAAGGGGATAGCAGAAAAACATTTTATTTATTTTAAATGCCCCCTCCAGAGAGAAAGGCTTCAGGGCTTTGGGAATTAAATGTCAATATCCAGAAATAGCCCTGGCCAGGTAGCTCATTTGGTTAGAGTGCCATCCCGATACACCAAGGTTGTGGGTTCAATCTCCAGTCAGGACACATACAAGAATCTACCAATAAAGGCATAAATACATAAAACATCAAATCAGCTTCTCTCTCTCTAAAATCAAATTTGAAATTTTTAATAAAAAAAGATGCATAGCCCAACCAGTTTTGCTCAGTGAGCATCAACCTATGAACCACAAGATCATAGTTTGATTCCTGGTCAGGGCACTGCCCAGGTTGCAGGCTTGATCCCCAGTAAGGGGCATGCAGGAGGCAGCCAATCAATGATTCTCTCATCACTGATGTTTCTATCTATCTCTCCCTTTTTCTCTGAAATCAATATATATATTGATGACTCCCATATTTTAGTTCTTTCTCCTTTACCATATTCATTTTAAGGATTTCAGGGTAAATGACTCAAAAGTCATTAGACACTTAATAGATTATCAAATTGCAAATATTATAACTTTTGAAAGAAGCGCATTTTGGTTTTAAGGCAAATTTATCAATGAATCAACAAAGTATGGTAAGTTTTTCAAAGCACAAAATATTTCCTAGAAAGTTCACATCTGTACAAAAATTTTCTTGCTTTCAAATATTCTACAATTTTCTATGGGTATAGAGAAGAATGTTTTAAGAACAGACTAAAAAGGAAAAAAAAAAAACAGACTAAAAATTTGAGAAATATACTGGGTTACTTTTTTTTATCAACACCTGCTTATAGCCATGCACCATACGTCAAGAACAGTACCATCTACTGAGGAGTCAAATGTGAATAAAACGAGGTCCCTACTATTAAATGAAAATTTATTTTGAACATTAACCTTTTAAATTAAGAGTTCCTCAGGAAAAGAAATGTATATCAAACAAAAACAACTTTATTCTAAGGGATTACATTGAGGAGAAAATACAGTATTTAAATTTAGACTAAGACATTAAAAAACATTATGTTCTAAACAACAACAACAACAAAAATATGTTCTCAAGTCTACCTATTTAGGCAAAGTTATTCCCTTAGTGCAGTGTAGATCTATATAAAATGTGTTTCCGAGTAAAGATTTGTAAAGACAAAGCAAGAAAAAGAGTAAAAGCCAAGACTTACAATTCTGAAAGATGTTTACCAAAAAGTTTCAAGGGTCAAATATAAGGTGATGGAGGAGACTAGACTGGTATTGAGCACACAGTATAATTTACAGAGGATGTATTATAAGAGTGTACCCCTGAAACTTGTTATTAACCAATGTCACCACAATAAATGTAATTTTAAAAGTGGTTTGGTGAACTATGGACCTCCTTAAGAGCAGAGATGGCCAACTAGGCCCTCAGGCCAAATCCAACCAGCGCTAACAATGGTCACAACATCTTTAAGTGGTTGAAAAAAATATCATTTGATGGCACACAAGATTATATGAAATTCAAATTTCAGTATCTCAAAGTAAAGTTTCACTCTAGTCCTATCTAATATATCAGCTTATATGTACTATCCATGGCTGCTTTTGTGCTACAAGAGACCCTTATGGCCTGCAGAGCCAGAAATATTTCTTCTCTAGCCCTGTGGAGCGAGTCTGCCAACCCCTGCTTAAGAGGATTCTCACATCTATTAGATTCACAGTCTGTGAGAGTAGTTTTGTTATAGTTATTATTTCATGGATTATCACAGAACCACTGATCTTTTTAGTCACAGTGTTAAGTGATGAATTAAAGCTAAGCTAACACTGAAACAAATATGAGCTTTTCTTTCACCTTCTGCAAAAACTCTGATACATACAATCAATTTCTACCTAAGGACATTTTATCAACGTTTCCCCTAGTTCTAAGCAAGAGAGACTTTTCTCTAGATTGGCTTGCGACTCGCTACTCCCAATCACTCCACGGTCTGATGTCTGCCTGTAAAGATTTTAATGTATGAGATTTAATAGGTCCAGAGGGCAAAACCCCTCCAAAGCAGTTGTCAACCAAGGCAATACTGCCTCTTTCTCCAGGGGGTGTGTTCAGGAACAATGACTGAGAGTTTTAATGGATTTATTTGGTGGGGACGAGGGATGCCAGCTGTCCTACAATGTACACAACAGGCCTGAGCAATGATGACCTGGCCTCACTAGATAACAGCACCGCCACTATGAAACACTGATGTGGTACCACTTCTGAACTGCTGGAACTAGAATACTATCTTTCACTATAAACTATCCCCTGGATGAGGAGTTAAATTATTTTAAAACCCTGGGCATTGGTGAAGTTGTATAAAAAGATCCCTAGAGAGTAAAAGTGAAAAGTAGATTTAAGTCCCTAAGCATAATTTTAACAAAAAATAAGCAGTCATGGAACCAGACCCTCCTTGGGATTCCCTCCTTGCCTGTCTATAGTCCAGCTTGTAATAATCACCCTCATCAGCCTGTCCCAAGGACATCACCCAACTCCCCTTTCAGGCAGAACCCCAGGACATAGGTTTCCCTAACTCCTTTCACTTTATCGTAAGTGCTCTACATCCAGTTCAAAACAGCATCATTCCCCAAAGAGGGAGTTGTAGCCTTATTATAAAGAAAACTTAAGGACATACTGGGATTTTCTGAGGAGAGTATCACTGCCACTTTTTCCTTTCCAGTAATATTGCAATGAAAAAAATTAAAGCAAATTATTGACCGCTACTCTCAGACATCAGTTCTATTTCTAAGCTCCTACAGTCACATGAAAAGGACCTTTTTTTTCTCTATTCTTGCTAGATTTCCTAATAAAACATGTGATGACTTAACATTAATGTCTCACCCATCAATAACGTCTTAGTCTTCTGAACTCTAAGCATTTGAACCCAACAGTTGACACAATTCTTATCTAATAGGGACACTCAAATTAGCTATGACATTGCCAATCTGTCTTACCATACTCCGCCCTTCAAAAGCTGGAGCCCAACCTCCTCCTGAACACGGGCTGGACTTAGTGACTTGCTTGTAATAAACAGAACATAGTGGAAGCAACAGTGAGGGCTTCTGAGACGAGGTCATAAAGCCATTGTGGCTGTGTCCTGCGCTCTCTTGCATCACTGCACAGCCGCCAAGCGGGAGGGCACCACAGGAGCCCTAAGAAAAGGTTCCTGTGGTGAGAACTAGTCTCCCGTTAGCAGTCATCTGAAAGGTGATCCTCCAGCCCCCCAAGACGTCAGATTATGACAGCCCTGCACCAAATCTTGACTATAAATCTGAGAGTCTGGGCTAGAACCACCCAGGGAAACCACCTTCACATTCCAGACCCCCAGAAACTGATATTGTTTTTAATCTGCTAAATTCTGGGATAATTTGTGTAGCATCAATAAATAACATATTCATACACCTAGATATTTTCTGAAATGGGAACATAAAGAAAGCTCTACTCAATTCTGAAGCAGAACCCACCATTATTGAATTGCAACTTAACAGGATTATGGTGCCAATTCAACAAACAGAAATTATTTAATTAATCCCTCTTGGTTCCCTAACATTCTGAATTAGATACTAGAGATATTCTTGAGCACTTTCCCTCTTAACTTATAATTATTCTTGGGAACTGGGATGGGGACAGGTTTAGGGAAGTTTGGTTAGAATGACAAACCCTCGTTACTAGCAACCTAATACACTTTTCCAATGCCTGTGAGACTGAAACCAGTTCTCACCATAGAGAATCGAAAGCAGTCCTGCTTGGTCCAATATGCATCTCATTCTTGGTTTAAAAAGGAAATGTCACACACAAACATACCTTCACCACTCCCTATCCCTAGGTTTGCAGAAGTTGCTCCTTGGGCATTAATTAAACTTAGAATTGTATTACAAATTCATTTTTTAAAATGTATTAATATTCCTTCCAAGTGAGAGATTTCTGTCACTGCACTAACATTCCTAAGAAGTCCTTTTCAAAGCATTATTTTAACCCTAGAAATTATAAAGCTATTGAGATTATGAACTTTATTAATTTTTCCAAATCCACCACTGAACACAACTGATTGGTGAACAAATTCTTACCTGCAGCGGTCTCCGTAAATGCAGTACCCTCGCTGAAAATACTTGCACAGCACACCGTATGGACTGTCAGAGAGGTCATGCGAGTAGCGACAGTTATCTCCTTCCTTACAAACCCCGTGCATGAAATACCTGTGAGACAAGGAACCACACAGCTGGATTAAACGAGATGGAGCCAATACTCAAAGAATTCATGACCAATATATTCCACCAGCAATACACTAGTACTGTATACTAATCCTATACCCATGATTATATTCTACACAAAACATGTAAAATGCACAAAGAAAGTAGAACTAGACTACGACCATAAAGTTATCCACTAAGGCACCACAAGAGGCTGCCTATAGACACAAAGTTTAAATTTAAACTTCGATGTTGTCAATCTTATCTTTCCAGGTTAAGTCTGACAACTGTTCCCTAGTTATAATCCTAATGGGTACATTCTTGTTTTTCACTAACTTTAGCCATAATGGCAGTTCTATCTGCTAATAAATAAATAAATATCTAAGATTAAAAGCAAGAAACAGTGTGGTGATTGGGGAGGGGGGATGGGTGGAGGTGGAAGAGGGTACAGAGGAATAAATGGTGATGGAGGAAAAAATAAAAAAGCAAGAAACAATGAAGACTGGACCAGGTCAGGCTACTGCTTGTTTCACTCCAAGAAACTATTTTAATTATTGAAAAGCCACATGTAACAATACAAGCAAAATTTGCTGCAAAGGTAGGGAAGAAGGGAAATCATTGTGTGTCCTCGATTAGCAGAACGATCTCCCTGTGCCTTACGGGAGTGCCCGTGTACTGAACTAGCAGTTTCCCTCTCAGTGTCAGAGCAGGACTCAGCGGTTGCTAAGTGGATTGGACCAGCATCGCCAACAGCACCTGGGGGTTTGCTAGAAATGCACATTTTGAGACTTTATCTCAGACCTTCTAATCTATAACTGGGGTAAGAGGGGGCTAAGGCAAGCAGCAACCTGTATTTCTCTAAATGACTCTGTGGATCAGGGAAGCAATAAGGGTTTCATTTTAATCCTGAAAAGTGAGTAGAACCAAAAAACACATCACCCCCATCATCCCATCACTGACTTACTAGGATTAGTTTTTCTTCTTTTAGTCTTTCTCTTGAGCAGGGTTATGAAGATTTAGTTTTGGCAGACTACACCTCCCCAAATATGCGCCTTGCCACCACTGGTACAGAGTAAAGGAAAAAGTGCCTATTTCCTGGGTGTAGGTAGAATATCAGTAAGCACATTCCACTTTGCCCACTAATTTGGAATGATACACAGAAAATAAATTCACATTTACCTAAGGCTGTCCCCAATTAAAATGTGGAAGGTTATTCAGCAATTTCCTGCAAGCAGATCTTCACAGCAGATAACATGGAAAGAAAGAATACCACTCTGGTGGAAAGTTGTTAAGATCCTTAAATGCCCTAGGACTGCAAATCCATCTATATAAAAGCCTAAGCGACCATTATGGCGGAACGCCAGACCAATCTGATGAGCACTGACCACCAGGGGGAAGACGCTCAACGCAGGAGCTGCCTCCTGGTGGTCAGTGCGCTCCCACAGGGAGAGCGCTGCTCAGCCAGAAGCCGGGCTCAGTGCAGCGGTGGTGGTAGGAGCAGCAAGCAGGCAGGCGGTAAGGAGCAAGGGCTCACCGGCTGCGAGAGGGCACAGGCCAGGCTGAGGAACACCACCACCCCACCCCACCCCACCTCAGTGCACGAATTTCGTGCACCGGGCCTCCAGCAACAAAAAACATGGTAGGTCAAATTATACTTAAACTACCCCAGCAAAAAAAAAAAAAAAATTATACTTAACCTAATCAAACTTCGGTTTGAACTTTCTCTCAGCTACAGGGCTACTTTGTGTAAGCTTTAAAGCTGTTTGAGAGCCATATCACCCAAATTTGAGCTACACTGTAGCAACAGATAATTTTTTAAAATATATTTTTACTGATTTCAGACAGGAAGGGAGAGGGAGAGACAGGAGCATCAGTGATGAGAGTCATTGATCAGCTGCTCCTGCACACCTCACACTGGGGATCGTGCCTGCAACCTGGGGATGTGCCCTCAACGGGAATCAAACCATGACCTTCTGATTCATAGGTTGACATTCAACCACTGAACCATACTGGCTGGGTCCAATAGATAACTTTTGACTGCATTAAGTGAAGTGATTAAAACTTAACAAAACTACTACGCAAGTAAATAACTACATTGTAATCACTACTATAGAGTAGTCATGCTTTTGAGTTTCTATAAAAGTATCCACAGTTGAAAATAGGTTATTCATTAGAAACAGTGTCACTGTTTGAATACAATTGCTTTCTGTCCCATCCCCAGTGGGAACACTTGCTCTTACATTCTAAATAAGACAAGAGTGCCTATACCCTCACTATTTATTTGGGGTCAATCTGATGTCAGAGATGCCTGTGTTTTTAAGGCTTGATAAAACATCTACCTAGAGATAAAGGTGGGCAGTAGCTCCTAAATCTCAGGCACAATACTTGGAATTTCAGGTTTGTTCTTAAACCCTATTCTGCCATGGTCTTGTTCAGTGCATTGTTGCACTTAGGTTTATGATGCTCTTCTTTATGTCAAATTAAGTCATCCAGGAATCACTACCTGACGGCTGCTGACCTTACTGAACCTTGTTTCCTCAATCAGTTGCTTCAAGGACCTCAACTCCCTAATACCTGCATCTTAATGTTCAGCATGACACCCTACCTTCACACTTTTGCAACACCTACAACCAATATTACTTTTTGATATCCATAATGGGTGGAAATTTTTCTAGAATTCAAAATAAAAGAGTAAAAAATAAGTCAACAAATAGATTGGATTGCGAAATAGAACCACCGGCAATAGAAGTTCCTGAGGTCCATAATGAGCATCACTGGAGGAATTCAAGCAGGCACCAAGTCACCTGATACTGCAGAATCAACAGAAACACTAGAATACAAGCCCTAGTTAGTCAGGGCCAGATACGTACTAAGCATTATTTCACATTTACTTGGTATGTGTGGTCTGGGTTTTAGGTTCTTGCCTTTTGCCTTGCAGTGGTACTAACACTGTTGGTATACCCAGAATTATCGACATTTCTCACAGTGAAATCCCCTCTTGCCAACCTATCTCTGTGTAAGTCTAAGCAACTGGCATGATAGTGTAAGTTATAACAGATAACAAAAAAAGGCAACCCACTCCCAAGAATTTCTCGCCAAAACCAAACCAATAAAAATGACACCATTAAAATCCACCTGATGCCCCTGCCCAGGCTGAGCTTGCCCCTCCCTGAGGTGAAGATTTCTAAGCCATAGATTTCTGCAGTTCCTTCCACCTGGAAGATTCTGTGACTCCAAGCAGACATCGTCGGGTAATAAAGACATACCACTGACGAGAATCCCCTGACCTACCTCTTGGAAGCCTAAGCATGATCAAGATATATTAGCCTGCTCGCAGTTCCTCTAGCATCATAACATTCTAACAATCTCTTTGGGAATTTATAGAAAATTACAGATCATTAATTAAGATTTAATCACTTAATCTGCTATTACATTTCTCACTTTGATATTTTAATGTACCCTATTTCTCAAACTGGCTTGTAAATTCCTGGTGGTTAAGAACCATGCTTTATTCTGCTTTTACCTCCTCGGTACCCGTACACATAATAGGTTTGTTTCCTAAAAGACACCATTCAAATTCGGCTGATGCCCCTGTAGAAGAGAGCTGGGGGCCGTGGTGAATCATAGTGACAGTAGCAAATTAAATTTCCCTAGGCTGGAGGACTTCAAATACCGTCCCTTCAAACCCAGAGTTGTAAGCAATGAATTTCACCTACAGATATCAGAGCACTTAAAGACCTTCTAAAATTTTTCCTTCATTTTTAAGCTATACTAACCACACTTACAACTACAAATTGCAAGTTACAATGTTTCTTTACTAATTTTTGAACCCCATACGCTCAAGGAAACTAAGAAGTGACAGCATTTCTATTTCATAATATTTCTCCAATAAAAGATGGAAAACGGCCTGGTGGGGGCAGCATAATACAGTTCCTTGGGAAAGAGATACCTAGGATTTTCTTAAGCTGCAGAAATAAAACACAAGATAGAATTTGGAGAGATTCTGAGCAATTAAAAACAAATATCCATCCTCCAAACAAGTACTAACTTCTAAGAGTATTATACTCTAGGTGAAGAAAGCCAAAATCCTAGGAATGAGGGGGTAATGGACACAACCACTAGAACACATCTTGAACTCAAAGAAGTTTTAGCTATCAAATACACTGAAACTATTTATAATACAGTGTTATCACTTCTTGGGCTTTTGGCTAAGATCAAGTGTATTCATAATACAGTGCATTTCTGCATTCCCTTTAACATCTAGCACACTCTCATGTAGGCGCTAATGCTTATTCACTGAATAACTGAATGAGGTAGTCCCAGAAAGACATATACATATGTCCCATTTAAGTCCTTTGTCTTTGCTAATTCACAAATGGTGTTTTCTTGTTTTGTTTTTTAATGAAAGCAGAGGAACATTACTAGTCTATACTGAAGTGGATAATTGTAGGTGTGGATTTATCAACATCAATTCAAGTAGTTACTGAATATGCCAGGTACCTACAAATAGGATGAAGAAATAGCCCTGCTTTCAGAGCTCAAGTCTAGAATAAATGAAGATATCATGATACTCCTCTGTTCAATCAAGTGTTTGTTTTTTTAAATAGATCATGTTGGTACCTAAAATAACTGAAAACAATGTTAACCAAGACATATCAACTAATCTGCACATTTTTTCAGATAACTGTCTAGCAAGCTATTGACAGGTTTATGTAAAAATAAAAAACAAAACCCTGCACATCTAAGCCTGTGTAGTGTTTTCCCCCCCAAATACTAGATTACTCAGGTATGTAAATTTCTTTAATACATAAATCAATTGGTTCATGGGCAAAGAACCACCACTGGTCTGGGAACAATCCAGGCTATTTCATTAACTCAAAGATCCTAAATGCAGGCAAAGAACAACAATCAGTTGGTAAGCTGTGTTCTGAATTCTGATGTTACTGGTGAGGAACTAGAAAAAGAGAACCAGAAAAGGAAAAAGCACCTAACAGCGGGGAAAGTGAAGTACAGGAAGTGACAGTGAATTCTGTGCAGAGATGTCAGGTTGGGCTCAGGCTACAGACACAGCAGGACCACCTGCAGGCTAAGTATGTCAGGCTGGTGAGAGGTTTCCGAGCCTATTTAGGTTGGAGATGGCGAGGGAAATGGAGGCACTGGATGGAGTCCTTAAAGAGGTCACATCTTCAAGGGAGATTAAGTTCATTGTATGAATGTAGAGTGGGGCTGCAAGGCGAATAGCTGGAAAATTCAGGAATATAAAGTTACACTAGCACTTTAATTTTTCTCAAGACTCAACCAGAACATATCAAGCAACTGCAGCACGTAGTTACATGGATGGGAATTCTTAAATGACCATTTGGGGGATACCGCACTTCATTCCTTTCTTAGGGTCTACCTAAAACAGCCTTTATGCTTCCCCCGTCCTGTTACTCGAAGTAAAGGCAATTAAGCTTATCATCTATGCCTTAACTGCATCATGTTAAAGACTGGCAGGGCCTCAATCTCGCTGTTAATGCTAGAACAGTGAGTTCTGTATATTAGGAATATCTTTGCGTCTTAATTATCTCACACAGATGAAACCGGCATTTCGGATGGATTTTTGCAAATGAAAGCTTCTGCTCCTACTGATCACATTTTTAAAGCCCAAGCATAACATCCAACTAAATGCTCTAACCTTCATATATATATATATGTGTGTGTGTGTGTGTGTGTGTGTGTATATATATATATGTATATATATATACACACACACACACACACATATATATAGATATGACAGCTTGACAGTTTTTAACATGCGTATACACGTTCCTATAAGAGCCATCCACTAACCACTTAAAAGGGGGGAAAAAAAGACTTTTTCCTCTGACATACCAAGCCAAAACAAACCCTCTCCTCCGGGCTGCAGGTCTCTGACTCCCTGCAACGGAGAGAGGCGTGGATTTCAAAAAGAGAAACATTTCGCCCCGGGAGGGGAACGGCAGCTAGTCAAACTCAGGGCGGAGGATGCCGACCCGGCCCGGCTCAGCACACGGTTCCCAGACAAAGCTCAGAACCGCCAGCCTCGGTAAACATACAAAGAAATAACAAAAGCTACTTCTCCGGGCGGGGCGGGGCGGGGACGCGAGCAGACGTTACAATCCGATGACCCGGCGGCGGCGGCCCTCGGCAGCCGGGCCATCTTGCCGGCATCCGCGGCGGCGCTCCCCGGGCCCGCAGCTCTTCCTCTCCGCACCTGCGGAGCCGTGGCAGCGGTGGGGACCGGCGACAATGAAAGGAGGGAGGAGTCACTCCACCTCTCTCTCCGCGCGCTGCGCCGAAAGGCCGGGCCACAGGGAAGGCCGCCGGGCGGGGGTTTGACTCTCCCGCGGCCGGGGGAGGCTGGCGGCAAACGCGGGGAACGGCGAGAACGCGGGCCGCCCTCCTCCCTCCGCGCCGCCTTTTCTTCCGGGAACCGGGCCTCCTCCCGAAACCGGGGCCGAAGCCGTGTAAC